GATGATAAAAAAAAGTATTGGGTAAAAAGTATCCTATGTCCGTCTCCTGGTGCTAAGCTACGTTGGCCCACCAATTTTCATCCAAATCGTTTTAGCCATTCTTGAATTATAAATAGTGTAACTAACACGAATTTCTTAGATTTACAGTGGCAAATGTGCACTTCTGCCTACCCCTTCGGGGGTAAAAGGCGTGATGTTATATTATGTGTGTTATTTACAGTGCCGTAAGGACAGAATAAGCAAAAAATATATTGATTTCTGTATTTACTTGAAGGGGTAGGCAGAGGTGTATTACAGCTCTTAATGTCAAATTACAATGTAACACCCACTTTTCACTATTTATATTATTAGTCCCATGTACCTAATAGGGGGTGAGCCTATTGCCATGTACCGGGGGCACAATTCCAGACTCCGTGCTAAACAACTAACATTTTTTTTTAAACCTTGAAATACTTTGGCCAAACCGGGAATTGAACCCGAGACCCCTTGCACGGCACCCGAGTAGTTGTTAGTGCACCGAGTAGTTGCACTAACAACTACTTGGCCAAACGTGGCAGTATTTCTCTTTTCATATTACAGATATGAAAAGATAATATAAAGATAAAGATAATTAGAAGAATTTTGACGTATTTTCTTTAAAAAACATTTTAAACGACCTTTCATAATCAAAATAATTGACTTCCGTAAACAAATAAGCAGAAAATAACATTATACGCATGATTGAGTATGAGTATTCACTCAACATGTAGTAAAATTCGGAAGTTGCGTCAGGTACAACGATAATTAAATAATACCAATCAAATCAAGTAAATACGCTTATCTAATGTAGTTAAGTATTACAAATGGTTAATTATTTCATTACGCAAGAAGTTTTCAATATATATTTTTGTAACATGAGTTTTTATTGTACATATTAGAACCAGATTATGCCTACACCAACCTACTATGTTCTTCAAAGTACAAGTTTCTTTGCGAACTTCATTACAAGAAACAGAGATGGCGCTTTTCCATAATCTCTCCGCTTGCAGGCATGACAGGCAAATTTGGTTTATCTATTAGAGAGCACTTTAGTCCACTATATGTCGATCGTGTAGCCTCTTAGTTGATTCACAAGACACCTACAAGAAGAGTAGGTGTAGTAGATAAATATATTATGGTGAAAGCAATTAAACATAAATACAATTTCAACTATTTTATTATCACAACATCAAATTATTCTTCTATCGTTGAACCTCGTGTGGTCATCGTTGATTCTTGGTTGGTATCCATTGGCATCGGCTACATACTTCATGGAATATGGCTTCCCTCTGGAATCAATGTAGCCGTACTCCCCTCGGACGACCCATGCCCCTCCATCAGGCCCTGGAACAACGCCTCCTTCTTCTCTCCTGTAGGTGCCATCTGAGGTTTCATACCTGTTGAAAGAAAATATATAAATAGTTAAGTACATATAGCCTATAGTATAAGAAGATATAGACTGCCTCGTTGGCCGAGTGGTCGCAAGTGCGAATGCCCGGCGGCAAGGGGTCTCGGGCTTTTTTAAATCTCAGTAGTAGTAAGGTGTCTGGAATTGTGCCCGGTATATGGAAATAGGCTCACCCCCTATTACATGGGACTCATAACATAAATAGTGAAAAGTGGGTGTTACATAGTACAGTGGCATTTAGTGCCGTAATGTACACCTCTGCCTACCTGGACAATATGTTATATCATTGTGTAGATAACAAGAATTATCAGTATAGTAAACCAACATGTTGTTTAGAACTATACCGTGTTACAAATGCTTACTTAACTGCCTTAATAATGAAGTGATTAGTTAATGCTACTGCCTACTAATAAGGAAACGAGCTAAATCCCTGGTTTAGTACTTTCTGGATTTTTCAATTATTAAAATTGCTATCAGTCAAATTTAAACTCGACTCTAGAATGCGAATGTGTAATAAATGCGTCTGATGTCTAGATTAATTAAACGACAAATGTGAGTGTATGATATCTGTCCACGCCTTTGGGCAAAACAAGTGTAGAGTGTTTTAAATATTCCTGTTTCTGTAGTCAGACAACGATATAAAAGACATTGAATAAAAGTTACTCAACTTCTCAACATTCAAAACTACAATAAATATAATTCAGCAATTATTTTAATCGTAAATCAAACTAAATTGTTAATAATTGAGATATGATCGTTTAATTTGTTTTTATGCAATACTAGGTAAGTGTAAAAATACTTTTATACCTAGGTACCTATATAATGTACCTTAAATATTGCATGTTCTAAAAAAGCACTTAAGGTTTGGAATTAACCCTCATTATATAAAATCTCAATTCGTTCCTATTTTGGGTGCAGTTTAAAATAACAAAGAACAAACAAATAAACAAGTACACAAAAGATATAGATATAAACAATTCACACAAAAGATATAGGGATGTGCCAACAATTGCAAGAAACGATCTGGTCATGCATGGTTGCTTAATAAAATAGAATTGCATTTCGTTACTCTGCACGCAAAAACAATGATTACCTGAATACCTCATATGGAAAGGCCAAGAAGTCGGTTCTAACGATGTATTGTTTAGTGCTATAGCATTGCCTTATAAGCACAGGATTTTTGAGTTTGAGAATGAAATATCATTAGTTTATGAAAATACATGTAATTTCTCATTATTGCATATCTACAATTTACTAGTTACGTTATTAAACTCATGAGAGCCTTATATGAAAAAAAAGAGATACAATTTATCTTGAAAATAAAACCCAGATATATTGTTCTTCATCGAGACGTTCGAAAACCGAACTCATATCCAAATCGCATCTCTGCTTATCAATGACCCGAAAAGAAAATTTAAGTTCCTCACTAATAAAACGAGATTTGTTGAAATTAACGTCACTCCTATATTTAGTTTGACGTGATTATATAAAAATTATCAAACATTTAATGATTATCAAAACATTGTGCAATCGTTTATTATACGATGACACCTCGACTTAACCTAAGATTAATAAACCTCAATTGGTTTTCTGATTACATAGTGTACCCATTTGTTACGCAAGTTACGTCAAATATTTTCGATTTATAATGTCATGAGAGCTTTAATAAAGTGGAAAAAGTAAATAAATTCGTGTTAATAACCATCGAATTTGTCTGTCGAAAGTATACTCCCCACATCACTAATTTAGTAAACCCTTTATTTATTATTGTTTGTTTAATATAAAATACAGGGTATGACTTATAAAATCTAACGTGATGTCCAACAAAACAGGTCCAAGATAATGTACACCATTCCTAATAACAATCTATTTTAGATGAGGTGTCACTCAGGATTTCACTAGTAGTGTGTTGCTTTCACACAAACAAAGAATCAGGACGAAAAATACATAACTTTATTGCACCGTTGCACGTGCTTAGGTGTGAATAAAAATAAATCTTTGATTAATTCTGTGGCATAGGTCATTTCATTTCATCATAGACGCAAATAACAAAACTTTTTGGAGAATGAAACATTAAGACTTATGTCACATAATAGGTATACTTAATTTGTAATGCAAAAATAAAAAGATTTTAGATATGCCTTATCTATAATGGCATAAAAAAAGGAATTGCGTTGTCATTTATGACGTGACATGTGACCTTATTTAAATAAAATCACGTCATGTTTGCAGATTGACCTGTCAACGTGTTATTGGATAGTTATAAAATCAAATCGAAAGATAAAATATATACATTAATTAATAAAGAGAATAAAAAGAATTTATTTACTTATTTTTCTTTTAATTAAATGACCGTGTAGTGTATACGTATATTTAACATCCATACCTAATTATATTAATTGAACACGCTAAACATGAAATGTTGAGTTTGTCTTATTTATACCTACGATCTAAAATGTAATTTTATTTGTAGTTAATATGCAATTTCGATTGCCAACAGATTTAAATTAATTTTCCTTCTAAAATACAATATTTATAGAATTATCTTTAGACATAAAAATGGGCTTGCAATATTATTACTTTGTAGTAAATATTATTAAACTAGTTTTCTAGAAATACATTATTATAAATATCAAATCTGTCTAAGTGTTGATTGTAAAGTAAGCCAAAGGTAACATTCAAACTATAGACATAGTCTTGTATTTTCAAAGATCAATAAATATTAAAGTAACCTTCTCAAGACATTTCGTAGGGTTACGACAAGAAATAGATATATTCCAAAATAATAGTTTTATCATTACATTGCAATACCAATCATTAACACACTTACTCGAAACTGTACGAGCCGTATCCATTATTGTTGTATGTGAATTTTTTAATTTGCCCCCCAAGGCAACTAGCTACAGTGACAAATACCATAAAGACCATAGGCAGGACGTAGAGATGAGCACCTTTTACCTGCGCAACAAAATACCATAATGTCAGGGCCAACGGGTCAAGCAGACTACGCTTTTCATTATAATAACACAAGTTACGCTCGCGGCTCTGCCAGCGGTTTATAGCACAATTATTTTGCAAGTTTGCATTTATTTAAATTACTTTAGACAATTACTCGAGGAAATTGCGAACGATTTTTAAACAATTGAACAATTTTAGACTGGAGTTGGAGATGTAGTGTGATGAAATAAATTGGGATAATGAATTCTGAAACAAATAAGAAGAATACAATACAAGAAGTTTGTTTTATTGAAAAATGTACTATAATTTTATTAAGAAAACCACGTGTTAATTAGAATATCAAGTAATACAGCAACCTACTTAAAAATGTTAAAAATAAACAGATATATTCACATGTTCCGTTATATATTTAATAATAATGATAATAATGATAATAATAAACAGATATATTCACATGTTCCGTTATATATTTAATAATAATGATAATAATGATAATAATAATAAGCCCCCTAAACAACCACACGTCCTGATCGACCATCTGATCACGTGGGGGGCGGACACACGATTACGAAATTACTGGCGTGGCTAACGTGGCTCTGGATACCCATTCAAAATGGAGACTCGTTCAAAGAGAAAACGTATAGGGCCGCTGCCCGGGGGCGATCGCCGGGGCACACCTGGAGCTGACGCTGGGTGTTTCAGCATGCGATCCGTTGGTGGTGTGGAGTTGAACAGGCGGGCTCCCATCAACAAACAAACTACAGCCGATATCACTGACGATGGTGGCAGACTAACGGACAGGACTAACACACCTGTAGAACCGTTCAGTCCAAGCACAGCATCATACGTACCATCCAGGTCACCATCACCATCTTTACCATCGTCACCTATATTATCATCATCACTTCCCATTGCTAATTTGAATACAGTTTATACGAATCCGACCTTGACTGTTGCGCGGGAGGTGTCTACCTTCTTACCCGCGTCCACCAAGGCCGGAAAAACAAGAGTTCGCATGAGATGGAGTAAAGAAGTTAACCTATTCATCATGCGAACCTACCTACATATTACAAAGTTAGAGACCGACATGACTACATACAGACAACAACTGCATCAACTTTTCTCTCAACAATATCCAGATGTTATAGTCTCAGAACAAAGAATTGCAGATCAAAGAAGAGTTATAGTTAGAAACAAACTTTTGTCCCAAGACGAGATAGACCAGTTAAAAGAAGAAGTCCGCATACAATTAGAATTAGAAAATGTCGAAAACCTTAACAATCACAACGTATTAACACCAAACATACAAGAAGAACAATCATCCTCGTACTCTCTAACACCTACTATTCAATCAGAATCTAACACTCAAACTTTCTCAATCTATCAATCACAAGCACAATCTCATAGCATACATACATCTACACAAACTGAGAACTTGACTATAACAATAGAAAATGATATTGACACTCAAGCTGACATTCATCAAAATTTACTATCTGACGCACATATACAACAACTACACGATACATTTAAAACAACACTTAATTTATATTCCGGGATGAACCCGGCAGTACGGCCTAAACTGCCCAAGCTTAGGTACTCACCAAAACTACAACAACTTGTCAATATATTTAACAAAAATATTCTCATACAATACACTACTGAAGACACTAAACTAACAGACGTACACACTTTGATTTACTGCACAGCAGTGGTAATCTCTGAAGAATTAAATTATAAAATCACGGATTACACAGGCAACACGAAAACTAAAACTAACAAGAAGCCAGCATGGCAAATTAGGCTAGAAAGAGATATAGAGAAACTTAGAGCAGACTGTAGTAGATTAACACAATACATAAATAACAATCGGTCAAACAAAGTAATTAAAAGAGTAGAAGCTATATTCAGAAACAAAAGATACACTACACACACGAGACACGAAAAAGACAATAGGAAACCGGAAGAATTTCTAGATACTTTAAAACAAAAATTGGCATTAAAATCCCATAGACTAAAACGGTACAAAAAAGCACAAGAACGCAGGACTCATAATTCGACATTTGCTATGAATGAAAAGAATTTTTACAGAAATCTACGAACAAAAGCACAAACAACACTTGATACTAACATAGAATTACCAACAACAGAACAACTCGAGGCATTTTGGTCAGGTATATGGGAAGATGAAGCACAACATAATGATAAATCAGACTGGATATCAGACGAAGCAGCCAGATGGAGTTCATTGGAAGAAATGGACTTTGTAGAGGTTACTGAGTCTGATATAACTAATATCACCGCAAAACTCCATAACTGGAAGTCCCCCGGTATTGATAAGATACATAATTATTGGTACAAAAAATTAGAATCCCTACATAAAATTTTAGCTAAAAATATAACGGACATCATCTTAGGAAAACAGAACATACCAGAATTTATTGCCACTGGAATAACTTACATGCTGCCGAAAACACAGTATACATCACAACCTTCCCAATACAGACCCATCACATGCCTACCCACACTGTACAAAATTATAACATCCACAATCACTTCAAAAATCAACAAACATATAGAACAACACAACATAATAGCGGAAGAGCAAAAAGGATGCAGGCGGGGCCACATGGGCTGTAAGGAACAACTAGTTATAGACTCTGTGATACATAAACACGCTGCCACGAAAAATAAAAATTTGCATTGCACCTACATCGATTATAAAAAAGCGTTTGATAGCATCCCACATTCCTGGTTAATACAAATATTTCAGATTTATAAAATAAGCCCCACAATTATAACATTTCTGAAAAATGTAATGTCACAATGGAAAACCACTCTTCAATTAAACTATCGCAATAATACTGTAACAACTCGACAGATTAGTATAAAAAAAGGTATTTACCAGGGCGACTCTCTTAGCCCAATGTGGTTCTGTCTCGCCCTTAACCCTCTATCCCACTTACTTCACCGTAGCCAAGCCGGCTATTGTCTTTCTAACACCACAGAAATAACCACTATCTCCCACCTTATCTATATGGATGACATAAAGTTATATTCAAAAACGGAAAAAGAAATGAAAACACTAATAGATATTACAACAAAATTCAGCAGAGACATTAATATGAGATTTGGGTTGGACAAATGCAAAACAATACACATCATTCGGGGCAAAATTAAACCAGGAGACTATACTATAAATAATAATATGGACGTTATTACTGCTATGGAACCAGATGACTTCTATAAATATTTAGGTTATAGACAACTTAAAGGGTTAGATCATAAAACAATTAAGAACACTTTATGTAATGAATATAAAAATAGAGTAAGTGCATTATGTAAAACTCAACTCTCTAGTAAGCATTTGATAAAAGCACTGAATACCTACGCGATCCCTATATTAACCTACTCCTTTGGTGTAATTAAATGGTCGAAAACTGACATCTACCAACTAGAAAGAAGTACACGCACTACACTTACCAAACATAACGATCTACATCCCAAATCCGCAATAGAGAGGTTAACTATTAAACGACATCATGGAGGGAGAGGCCTTATAGATATCCACCACCTTTGGCAGAAACAGATAACAAAATTAAAATTATTTTTCCACGCAAAATCTAATACAAGCAACATTCACAAAGCCATCGTTACAAACGACACCAACTACACGCCACTCAACTTACATGAACCAAACTTAGCATACGACGTTAACAACCCACAGACACAAAAATTAGAAGACTGGAAGAAGAAAGTATTACACGGCCGTCACCCCCATGACCTTGAACAGGCACACATAGACACCGTAGCTTCGAATAAATGGCTTAAAGTAGGTAATTTATTTCCAGAAACTGAAGGTTTTATTATTGCAATACAAGACCAGATAATTAATACAAAAAATTATAGAAAATTTATCATCAAGGACCCTACAATTACAAACGACAAATGTCGCAAATGCCACATCCAGCCAGAGACCATTCAACACATTACAGGAGCATGCTCAACACTTACTCAAACAGACTACACTCACAGACATAATCAACTAGCAAACATCATCCATCAGAACCTAGCAATCAAACATAAACTCATACAGGACACAAACACACCTTATTATAAGTACACACCAGAAAACGTATTAGAAAATACCACACACAAACTATACTACGATCGAGCCATTCTAACAGACAGAACCATCCACTACAATAGACCTGACATAACCCTACGAGATAAAATAAATAATATTACATACTTAATAGATATTGCAGTCCCAAATACACACAATTTACTAAAAACTATTGGAGAGAAAATAAGTAAATACGCTGAATTAAAAGAAGAAGTCGCTAGGATATGGAGACAAGAAAAAGTGTATATAGTCCCTATTGTTGTCTCCACCACGGGTGTGATACCCAAGCACCTGCACAATAGCCTGAAACTCATAGACCTAAAAGATAATACCTATATCACACTACAGAAAGCAGCCATATTGAACACATGCAGGATAGTCCGAAAGTTTATGCAGTTGGAAGAAGACACCACAAACATATAATTACACACCACACCCTACATTCACTTGGCCCTGGCCCGTGAACGTAGGTGAATACCAGCTTTCAGAGCTGAGAAAAAGTTAATTACTCAAAAGTAATAATAATAATGATAATAATGATTACTAATCAATAATATCGAGGCATTTATGAATTTGAAGAGAGGGTTTTAATCAGGGCATCTTTTAATACACTTTACCTTAACTTTTTTTTAAGAACTATGAGCTATAACTTTTCTGAATATGTAACCATGTAGGTATCTACTTTCGCACATTTCTAAGCTGTATTTACATCATAAATAATATTATATATTCTTCTATGACGTGCTGATTTAATTTGCATTAATGAGTTTCTGATAAATTCCATGTTCAATCGTAATATTATAAGAATGCGGATTTTTAGGCTTTGATCCCGGATGCATCTTCCAACAGTCACGTTACATTTTTTATATTTTACATAGTTTTAGAATACAAGATGCATTGTTATGATATACACAAGTCGTAAAATGCAAATTAATGTAATAAAATACAGTGCTTTTAGTTCTTAAAACCTTTTTTGTCTATTTGTTTATTTTGTTTGAAGGACTGATTAGTTGACGTTGCGGTTAAATCTGGTTACTGATATGAAATCAGCTTTTTATTTATAGTAGTCATTGGTTTCGTTGAATAAATGTTTCAATTATCTGCTATATTGTACATTTGACAAAATTATTTAGGATTGTTTATGAACAACATAACAACAAGCCAAGATTGTTAAGATAAAAGGTACAAATATTACACTGATGTGAAGAACCCTTTAATCCGAAAGCAGTGACCGGTGCCCGCTCTCTATTAACTACATTATACACCCTATTTCCAATTTTTAGAGACTACTTTTGTATGAACAAATTTGGAGTACGATATTTCAACAACAGAAAGTTAAGTATATTTATTTTCATATTCGAATATTACTAAAGAACAATGTGGGAGTGGTATGTAAAAGCTATCGGTTTCCTAAGAGCCAACAAATCAACAAGAGATTAACTTTTTTAATTCTATTGCAAGAGAATGTGTTTGTCATGTTGGCACATAAGGGCCCGCTTAATCTACAAACAACGGCAGCAAACTTGACAATAATGTGTTAATTTTGCCTCAAGCGCTCGCGACACCGAGAGTGAACGCCCTAAATTGATAAGAAAGAATTATTTTTAATGAAACTCGTATGTTGTATGTTACAAATACTTATTATATATGTATGTATGTACGTGCCTTTAAGTTTTGTGTAATACTTATCATATTGACAGGTAAGTCGAGATTATTTTTGGAGACCAATATTGAGACATTAGCAAGTTTGACCACCTACCTACACAATAAAATAAAAATAACCTTTTATTATAGGTATATTCATTAGTGACATTTCTAAGGCGGCTATGCAGATTTTAGTGTATTTTTTGTTCTGTTTTTGGAATAGAAGTATTAATAGAGATGATTTGCTTTGTATTTTTACTAACAAGTTACGTGTGATATTTCGAGTTTAATGAAAAGATGAACTCATGTTATTATTATAGATATAGTATGTTTCTAAGGGTCAACGTTCTCCAATAGTAGATAACTCAAAAAAATAAGTTAATTTCAAGTTCTCCAAATCCGGATTTTGAATCCAATCAGTGGTTTATTAACACGACCAATTACATAACAGAATTAGCATGATATGAAACTGGTTTTTTTTACTTACCATTTTGGGCGTGTTCTTCAACAGTGCGGATCTAAGTGGACTGTGAGTTGGGGACAACTGGCCACACTTTATATCCAGTTCTTGAAGAATGTCATGTCTGGACTTCATTCCAGTACATTGCCACGTCAAGGACTAAAGGAGACATTGACACTGTAACATTATTACGCAAACGTGGGAAGGACGGTTCACACTGTGTCAGTTGAACTGCGTCATTATTTGCTCCTGTTTTATTGAATGGGATTGGAGACGCTAGTGGCAGTATTATTCCCTGTATGTAGGTTTCAGACTGCATCGTAGTTGCAGTTGTTGCACAGCTGGCGAGAGTGAAGACTCGGCATCGCACATGGCGCAGAAAGTTTTGCGATTTTAAAATTCTCTATTAAACTTGTAGTATGTTACCAGTACGCAGTTTTGAGACTAATTGATAAATATTGTGAATAATCCTTGAAAGTATATTTCTGCTTTGTCGCTTTTAAACGTTATTGTTCACTGTAAGATTACAACAAAAATGAATCAAAACTAAAGTTCTTAGAGCAAACTCTAATGACAAAAGACATAAAAAAATGCAAAATATCCTTGATATTTGCAAATTACCAATTTTGTTAGTTACAAACAACTCCATGCCATTTTGTGTGAACATGCGGCCATCTTTTATTTTCCACATAAAACACTTTTATGGGATTGACATGAATAGATAGATAGGACATCATTATTCCATATTATTATTCAATACAGTGTTAAGGATCCGTCAGATGGGGTATCATTTATCAATGAATTTATGGTTGACTATAACCCATAATAATTGCCGCCCTATCGTTTATACTCCTAATTTAATCGATCGTACTCTCATGCTTGTAATTACGACTAACGTTAATATATAAATCTTTTATTTGTCTCATGATCTCTTGAAACTCTCTGAACTACAAGAGAGTAAGTTAGTAACTTCGTAATGGTATCTTTCTCTTAGGAAAGAATAAGCAACAATGAGTGTTTCTTAAGCACCTAAACCAAGAGCATGTACACCATCGTAATTAAGGGTCATACGAGCCTTTAGCATTAAAGATATTGTTCACTTATGATCAAGTGCACCGCCAACCAATTACCCACTCAATTATAACGTATTTAAGCCTCTAATTAACTTAACACTGAGTGCAAGAGTTTTATTCTCTTTATTAAAATTATAGCGTATAAGTTTGAGAAGCCCTGTAATAATAAAATGTAAACTACCATACTCACTGTTTCTTTTTAATCTCACCCGGTTTTATAATAGGGCTGATATTTATATTAATGTTCCTCGCCATTCAGGTCTTTTTACGAGCCAGCTCTTTCAATGTAACTGTTTTTGTGCGTATTATATTGATGTTGCTCTATTTTGTTTGATTGTTTGTGTAAAGTGTTTTTATGGTGAAGGAAGTCTTGGTATATTAATATTGTAAGTAGAAGGCCAATAGGAGTTTGTGTGTTTAACTCGTCGAGTACCGGTTTTGTAGACACAATTATAGAACAATAGGTTGCGGTCACCGGTGACCGCTTGGTGTTTGACAGTTTAATACAGACACAACCTTTTGTGTTCAGATAACATTAGTTTGGTTATAAACAAGACTACGAAATAAAGTGGAGGTGGTTGAATGTGGATGGATATTCTGTATAATGGAGCGCCAAAGAAGAGGCTTTAGACGAGCTAAGGACCTCTACATGCTGATAATGATTATGATGAAGAAAAGAAGAAGTTCTTCACTTCAAAACATTCCATTAAAAAAACTACGGATAAACCAATTTGATCTGACAATACTTTAGATACTTACTTTAAAACAGACTGCCTTTGTTGCCTAGTGGTCGCAAGTGCGACTACTGGACAAGGGGTCTCGGGTTCGATTCCCGGGTCGTACAAAGTATTACTTTATTTCTATTGATACTGGATGGATTGTATTAGACTCGTAACATAAAATAGTGAAAAGTGGGTGTTACATTGTACAGTGGCATAAAGTGCTGTAATGTGCACTTCAGGGTATACTTTCGGGGGTAAAAGGTGTAATGTTACGTTTAAAACATAGGTACTTCAATCGTGGCAAACATCTTGATGATCCGCCTTCGTCTTTGAAAACAGTACGTACCTATATAAAGAAATAAAAACATCCTCTACGTCTAGGCTATTAGTAAATTAATATGAGTTTAAATTTGTTATAAGGCCGTTACTTTAACCTATAATATACCCTATATATTTTAATCTCTATGATTTATGTCGAAGTTGGCCTTCAAAAAGCTAAAAAACTAATCGATTCCTAACATCGTGTAATATATTATTTTATGTATAGGTATAGGTACATTCTTAATTCAGTTTTTTAATTTGTGTAAAGGTGCTCTCAGACTAATAACTATATTTATTTATAAAAACTTTGCAAAAGTATTTTCTGTTGTCATGGAGTACAAATGAATCTAACAATGCGACATAACATTGGTTCATAACTATAACTAGAGAAAAGTTGAATTAAAATTGGGATATTCATATTGAAGGACAACAAAAAGGATTATGAAGTTGTTGTTTTACGTTTTTTAGTCGTATTTTTATTATTTAATTGTTACCATAATTCTCAGACTCGTGACCAATTTACCATCATTAAGTTCTAGTTCATGGTTCCGCTTATCAATATTCATGTTTTAAATGAACATCAAGAATTTGCCCTTGAAGAAGATTTCTTTGTATTCTGTTTTGTAAATAAAAACAAAAAATAATATTGGATATAAAACAGAGTTCTTATTACATTTAGTTGCCATTAGGCTGGTGGCCACAAGCGGGGATACTCACCAATTCAAATGTTGGATAAAGGAAAGCGTTAATTTCGAAATTTTAAAATATTGTCGTATTTTTTATTTTCATTCAATATTAGTCTCATTTATAAACTGGCAAATAAGTAATGGGTACTGTTTTTTATCTCCTCTGTAAAGTTACTTCAAATTGATAGAGTCTATTATCCGATGAGTGTAATCTTTACGTTATACATTACGTACATAAATATTGAAAAGTGGATGTTACATTGTGCAGTGGCTTTAAGCGCCCTAATGTGCCTTTTATCCCAGAAAGGGTAGGCAGAGGTGCACATTATAGCACATGTAACACCCACTTTTCACTATTTATGTTATGAGTCCCACGTAATAGGACGTGAGCCTCTTGCCATGCAGCGGGCACAATTGCATTCAACTCCGTGCTACTACTGATAAATTAAACTTAGTAATACTTTGCCCAACCCGAGAATTGGGCAGGAAATTATATTTATTTATGGAACTAAGTTTAGATAATAATACACCGCTATTCTAAGGAATTTAATAAATATTTTGTTTTGAGGAGTTGTCATCTCTTTTCATCTTTTAACTCTTCATATGTTCAAATAGTTGATATCAATTGTCAGTAAATCGATGATAGTATTGTGTGAAAATCTTTACTTCTCACTTTCCCAACAGTGTAGCGACTACTCCGGATGGTAGATTTGCTGATATTGGTGTCAGAATACCAACCACACTACCGACTGGCTGAAACAAAAACAAAACAATGTCATAATATAAATTAACATTAGTTGAATATACCATATTTTGGTATTCCTCTTTATCTGGGCTATGTCAAGAATTACTACAATTATAAATTTTTCAATGTTCTTTGTGTAATAATAGTAATCTCTATAAATAAAAATAACTTCGCATTCGTTAGTCTCGCTATAACTCGAGAACGGCTCAACCGATTTGGGTAGTTGTGGTCTTGAAATGTTCGTGAAAGCCCTGAGAAGGTTTAAAGGTGAGAAAAAAATTTGCAGGCGGTACGAAGTTTGCCAGGCTAGCTAGTTTAAAATATAAATATCTATATCTATCTATCTTTAGGGCCGTGGGGCCCAAGTGCACATCTTCTTTACAAAGATATTGTAAGGAGGATGGTTGACACTTCAGGTGATCAAAGGGCTGGTTACTACCTTGGGCAAAGGTTAAGCATTGCCATTCAACGTGGCAATGCTGCCAGTCTTTTGGGCACCCTACCTCACGGTAGCGATGAGGAAAATGTTTTCTATGATGCCTTATGATTTATTTTTATTATTTTTTTTAAGGTGTAAATATTTTAGTTTTAATTTTTTTTTTATATTTTAAGTTGTATATATTAATTTTTATCTTGTATTATATATATTTAATTTAGTAATAGTTATTATTAATATTATCTAAAGAAAACTAAGTGTTACCTATCGAAAGAAATATTAAAGTACCGTGTACTTTGTCTTAACTATAATAACTATAATAATGTAATTATTAAAATAGTTCTGTTAGGAATAAAATAAGGTTGAAATAAAAAGATATGTTTAGATAAATATTTAATTGAATAATAGTGATACATTGAGTAGAAAGTATGTACAATGTACATACTCTACAATATTTTTGAATACGTTAATCTACCAATTGCTAGTTTCGTTTTATTTAGTTGAATGAAATCAGGTATACTTGCTTGTACTTGAGAAATAATACTGTGTAATTGTCTTCAAAGTATTATAAAAGTTAATTAACTTTCTGCTTATCCAATAGGTAAATGGTTTCTTACTGTGTTGATCGAAGAGTTTTCTTCGTTTTATATAATGCTAGCGACCCGCCCCGGTTTCACATGGGTGCAATATGCATCTATATAAACTTTCCTTAAAGATCACTTGATCTATTAAAAAATATCGCATCAAAATCCGTCGCGTAGTTTTAAAGATCTAAGCATACATAGGGACAGACAGATGGCAGATGGCGACTTTGTTTTATACTATGTTATAATGATACATATTTCCTACAGGTAAACATTATTGGTGTAATTATAATAAATAAAAGTAAGTACGTCTTTAGTTTGGTACGACTTTCAATGTATGTACTACATAGATTTCAGTTGCCCTTCGTAATAATATGTCATAGTTTTGCTTTCAGATTGTGTGGTAGTAGTCTTCTCATCTTTATTTTCCTAACAATGAAGCTATTGCAGCTGGAGAAAGACCAGGGGATGCTTGAAAACCAGTCATGGTCGGCTGAAACAAATAAAAACATAGATTTAGGCCATAATTTAATTATAATAACAAGGAATACTTGAACAATCAGTTAGCGCTTTATCCAAGAATTCCTTTGTCGATGTCTTCTGGCAGATGTTGAGGTAAAAAAAAAACTAGGACTGTCACAAGTTCATTTTTTGGCCATAGGATGCTTACATAAAGAAATAGGTCTGTACGGGTAGACAAATCTGTACGGGTTTTATCGATTGGCGCAAGTATAAATTTCAGTATAATCTATGCCATTCAGATATCACTGTTGTGAGTAGGTTACTTATAGTGTGGTAGCTGGGCAACCAGCTGCCTTAAAACGTGTAGTGGGTTCGATTTCCGCACGAAGAAACTCTTTGTGTGATTCACAAATTGTTGTTTCGGGTCTTGGTGTCATATGTATGTGAAGTTTATGTTTGTAAACGCACCCACGGCACAGGAGAAAATCTTAGTCTGGGGCAATGTTTAAAAAAAAAACAAACAAAAATCCGAAACTTTCATTTAAAATATGGTTTACGAAGAATTAAAGGCCAGGATACTCTTAACCATGTTATGAAACAAAGCGAATTAAGACTAGGTTAAGTTTAACTAGTAGTTATGTCAATTTCTCATTTCACACTCAAGTAACAGCAAATAGCGTTAATTAGCCGTTATTTTATTTGTTCACTGCAAGGTGCCTAAAGCAAATATTTGATCGCTACCAGTAGTGTTGTCATGTATTACGTATAGAAGCCTCAATTAAGATTATTTTTACCTTGATATATGTAGAGAAAATGTTTAATATAAAGAATGCTTCTTATTATCTTCCTGTAATTATTAATTTAAAACGTTTTTTATAATGCACACATCAAGGTTGGCTAGGATTATTTTCATTATTACCTTATTGTATGAAATTCTGTAAATATTTTGTTAAAACCATTATAGCGTATGAAATTAACGTTTATATTTTAAGGTTTAGGTATACTTGCGATACATAAAAAGAGATGCATCAAAGATTTTTAATTTAATTTTTGGGTGTAATTTATAATTCCATAAAATAAAAAAAAGAAATTTAATCAAAGTTAATAATCATTAGTATCTCCCCTAACATTAATTAGAGTTCGGCACCGGTTATTTATGCTCAAAATTAAGTTATCCAAATCGAGCTGTGGTATCAGGTCCATAATAGAGCCGCCTTAATATGAATGGACTTTAGACTTCTTGTGGATGCTGGAGTCGGCTTCGTCTACCAGACCCTTAATCGTCGTGAATCCGGGTGAAATACAAACCGAGACTCATCAGAAAAAAGCGCCATGGACCATTGCTCTTCACTCCATGTAAAATGTTTTCGAGCCCACAATAGTCTCCGCCCGCGATTGTCACGCCGCAAAGCTGGAACCCGAAGTGGTCGACGAGAATGAAGACCAGCTTCATATAATCTTCTTCTTACAGATTGGTCACTAACCAACAATGCTGGTCAGATTCTTTGCATAGCCGCAATATTGGGTTGTCTCCTAGCGACATTTTGAAGAAAATGGTTCTGTTTTGGAGTGGTGATGCGATTTCTGCCTGAATGCCATTCTGTTACATCGTGACTATAACCGGGAGATTACATTTTGGCCGGTTTGCGGAGTTTCAGCAACCACAGCTCTAATCTGACATAACAATAAATGTAACACACATTAAAATTAGGATAAAGAATATGTGTAATCACTTTTAATTTTTTTAAACCTTATGTATCTACTTTTTTATTGTAACATTAACTAACTTTTCGACCGCCAAATTCGAACAATCGATATTCTTTTGTTTCAAAATGAGGTTTTGTTTTTTACTTTTTTGAATTTCGAAAGCTGTTTTTTTTTGTACAGTAAATAGTTTTTAAGTTAAGAACTTTTTCGTATAACTATAATATCCCCAGACATTGTTAATGTATGTAGTATGAAGTTATTTGATAATATTCGTTAGTTATAGGACATATCTGCTAAGGAAATCGTTTAAAATCAATGTTATTTTTGTAAAAAATGTTGTAACGCTTAACTTATGACAATTGTTTTTGTAATAGTTTTATTAGTAATTACGGTAACATAATGAATAATAAACGTTTTATATTTTTAAGTAATTTATTCAATAAAATTATTATGACTAAAGTTCAATTTATTTTTTGCAAATAATACCAAATCTATAATATCAATGAAAGCGACATCAAAGAGAAAATCTGTTATACATAAGGTTCGAAGGAACTAGTTATTTAGGATAATTTAATTAATTTGTGACTTCTATATACAGGTACATTTTTCATACATATAAGTTTTTAATTATCTACGTCAGGTATGTTATCCTAGCAGCGTAGCCGTCACACTCGGAGACAAAATCCGATTTCGATCCTGTAATAAAAAATAATAAATAGAGATAGTAATGATAGTCATTACGGTATGATGTTCTGTAAACTTTAATACTAGATCTGTAATTTGGTAGTTCTACCTGGAATGTTATCGATATGTCATAGTCGTTATTTATAAACGAAAATACTTGTAATGCATCTGCAGAAATGCATCGCAAATAAACCGTGCGAAATTTTGTTCTGCGACGTCTCGTTTGGTACCCAAGGACCGGGCCATTAACGAGGCGAGGGTGCAAAATGGAAATCAGAAAGATCATATCAAATTCTACAATATTGTTAATTTTCAAGACTGTCGGAAAACATTCCAGGCAATCCGAATATTTCTTCATTTCATGATCGAACGTGTGGAATGAAAGACTAAGAGAAGCATTTATGTTACTGTGGATAGAATAATGTATAGCGATATAGTAATTTATAGTAGGTATTTTTGTCTATAAAACGATATGTTTACTAAGTTAAAGAAGTATACAAACTTCTATATAGGTAAGTACAAACAGTCTCTGAGAAGCAAAATAAGATACAATAAATAATATTATTAAATAGCCATAAACATATCGGTAATAATAGACTTACCCCCTAATAAATAGGACTCATAACATAAATAGTGAAAAGTAGGTATTACATACAGTGGCATTAAGTGCCGTAATGTGCACTTCTCCCTACCACTTCGGGGGGAAAAGGCGTAATCTTATATATGTAATAATAATGAACTTGAACTTGAACTTGATGTCGTGGTGGCCCGGAGGTTTAAGACGCCCACTTCTCATGCATGAGGGTGCGGGTTCGAAACCTACCAACGGCAAGTACCAATGTGACTTTTTCCGAGTTATATGTACTTTCTAAGATTATTTAGACACCACTGACAAACGGTGAAGGAAAAACATCGTGAGGAAACCTGGACTTATAATTTCTAATTATAAGTTTGAAATCGCCAACCCGCATTGAGCAAGCGTGGTGATTAACGCTCTAACCTTCTCCGTGTGAGAAGAGGCTTTGCTCAGCAGTGGGCATTTATAGGCTGTTGATGAATGAACTTGAAACAAAAAACTTATTAAGAAAAAAAACGAATTTATTTTTAATGCTGCATCAATAATGAAGGATGATGCTGGTTTGACCTGTATTACTGGTATAATAACAACAATATTACCTAGAAGATATTTAATAATATATACTTACAAAGTTCAAGGTCTACGTCACTCATGTTTGTGACCTACAGACCAGACCACCTAGATACCTGGTATTAGTATTTTCAATTCACAAAAAACTTTAATAAATTATACATACATAGGTAGATAGATACTCAAAATTTTCCAACGAACATTTTAAATGTTGTATTATGGAATAAACCGGTAAATGAGCAGACCTGAATTGGTAAGCAATCGGTGCCGCCCTTGAACACCCGACACATCAGAGGAGCTGCAAGTGCATTGCTAGCCTTTTGGATATATTAAGAATTTTAGGGTTAATAGGAACTCGGGGATTAGGGAGATTGGGGAGGGGGGTTATTGGGCCTCTGGTAACCTCATTCATACGACGAAACACATCGCAAATTTTAGAATGTATGTATTTATGAGTACGTTTCAACTATGTCCTAGGTACTAAACGAAAGGCATTGAGATAGATTATAGTCGGGAACAACACGTAGAAGCTAAAACTGTTTCTGTAAAAACTATTCTATTTATGGATTCATACCAAAACCACTTACTTTAATATAATTTAGGATGGTCTCTTTTTTCCGGGTATCCGACACAATGTTTGTGTTAAAGCTCTAATGTATACGTATATGCTCAAATTGAATGTATTTCAAACTCGTAGGTACTACTTTATGTTTCTTCTTAAATCTTACGATCTAAATCTTTTGACATGAGAAGATCTTAATTTGATAGAAACCATTTTACAAAAATACGGTTTTTTGTATTTTTGCATCTATAAAACTAGACGCGGTACGTATACAGCTTATTTTAAGGCCGACTCAAAAAAAATGATAGAACCAAAATTTTGAAATAACCAGCAGTTCAGATATTTTATAGGTATACCTCAAGTGAGATATACGTAAAGTACCTACAAGAAATGTTTTTTCCTTAAAAGTGCAGTGGTCAATTTTGAAAGCAAAGCTGCTTCAATTTGTTTCCTAGCCTTTTCCCAATCAGTTTAAGGCAGTGAGATTTTTAGATATCAACATTTTCATTTCATTTATTTATTATACGTGGAGTGATAGCCACCTACCCTCCACACCACAACCTACAAAACCCACATTCTTGGCTACATCTGAATTTTGAGTAGTTTTAACGAATGTCATACCTAGATTTTTTTGTATACCTCTATAATAACAATTAGGTACATTTGACAATTCAAACAGCATTAACCGTATTTGAGTCGCTGAAATTATTGCATAGCAAGCACGGAATCAGCTGGCATAGCTTTTGTGACATACCTATCTATTTTTGTAGTTACCTATAATGTTACATTCAATGTCAGTTCCCTTTTGAATAAATATTTAATACAGATTTACTTACTCCAGTTTCTTTTTCTTGGAGATGGTAACCATCTCTGTCAGCACGGTAAATGACGTTAACGAGTCTTCCCTTGGTATCGATGTAAGAGTATGATCCTTGAACTTGAATATATTCATCTTCCTGTCCCTGGTTGAACACAACGCCATTTTCTTGGCGTTTTAATCCATTGGAAGTCTCGAATCTGTAATGATGTTACGTGCATTCATGGTTAAATATTTTTAAAACCTCTAAAGAGCAAAGGTACATTATATGGATATTATTAACTATTATATCTTAATTAGAACGGTGATGAGACATATTAAATTAATTATTATATTTTTATTTTAATCCAAAGTCTGTCACTTAGTCTCGAAATTGAATAACTCGAATGTATTAACTCCTCACATCAATTAGAATTCAACACTATTTTGTAAGAACTTTGACAATCACAGAAACAATCACACCTTTGAAATGGCACCTACTTCAGGCAAAAAATAACGATTCATAAAAACATAAACGTACCTGAAGTTATAGTTGCCAGCACCATCATTATTATTAACGTAGTCCACTATCTGAGCTTGAGCATCCTCAGGGAGGACGGCTGCCGCAGCAACCGACAAAACTGCGCACGCGATGATTATCCGATTCATTTTGAACGATATTTTTTTTCTACACAATACGAACAAGACACTAGCTTATTATACCGCAAGGTCAGTAAGCTTCAATTTGAATATACCTTGAAATATAATAATAAAACTTTAGAATTTCTTGATTTTTGTACTCGCATACAAACAACAAATGGCTCAAATCTTACTCTTCTCCGTATTATATACCTCTCTGAAGAAATAATGACAGCCACGAAAATAATTATAGTTTTTGTGTAAGTTAAAATATTGCACAAGTTTCTTACTGTATTTTTATTTTTAGCTAACATAACATCGCGCCTTTTATCCCCGAAGGGGTAGGCAGAGGTGCACATTACGGCATTCAATGCTACTGTACAATGTATCATCCACTTATCACTATTATGTTATGAGTCCCATGTAATAGGAGGTAAGCCTATTGCCATATACCGGGCACATTTCCAGACTCCGTGCTACTTCTGAGATTTGTTTTAAGAACCTAGTAATACTTTTCTCAACCCGGGAATCGAACCCGAGATCCCTTATCCGGCAGTTGCACCACTCGGCCAATGAGGCAGTTATTATTTTTATTAATCATTATTTTTAGTTATCCATAATATAGATATACTAAGTTTTGTCATAGTAAAGAAAGTATCCATTTAAATAAAAGTACCGCTTTATTCTAGAGTAGGTTGCGTGACGTCACCGCGTCCGCACACGCTTTAATGAGGAGTTCCTCTATGGTTAGACACTAGTACACCTTTTCTCAATATTTAGGTAAGTAAACCAATACTTTTAATTAATTTAATGTGTCTCGCGATAGTTATTATTTAAAGTTTCCATAATTATGTCAAATTTTGACAGAATTGGTATTATTTGTTTTGCGAGACCATTTATGAGTGGTTTCTATTGATATTTTTTCATTGTTTAGTGTTTACCTAGAACTGTGAAGTTTCTGAGTGATACTAATAATACTTTTTTTTATTTTGATTGCACCGCTGGTGCGGTGGCTGGGCAACCGGCTGCCGTGCAACGTGTCGCGGGTTCGATTCCCACACGGAACAACACTTTGTATGATCCACAAATTGTTGTTTCGGGTCTGGGTGTCATTGTGTATGTGAACTTGTATGTTTGTAAACGCACCTATGACACAAGAGAAAATACTAATGTGGTGCAACGTTTTTTAAAAAAAAATACAAATATTTTTGAGAACTAATTTTATTGAGGTAGGTAAATACTATACGTACTCGTAAGAGGCAAGCAATCCAGTCTAAATGTTTACCCTATTACTGCATATTAAACCCTATGTTCAAATGACTGCACGGTTGGTGCGGTGGCTGGGCAACCGGCTGCCGTGCAACGTGTCGCGGGTTCGATTCCCGCACGGGACAACACTTTGTGTGATCCACAAATTGTTGTTTCGGGTCTGGGTGTCATTGTGTATGTGAACTTGTATGTTTGTAAACGCACCCACGACACAGGAGAAAATCCTAGTGTGGGGCAACGTTTTTTTTAAAAAAAAAAAAAAAAAAAAAATGCAAACTGAATTCAAAACACGTTTTAGTATTGAATAATGCACAATTTATTTTCTAAATGTACGACTATGTTCTACATAATATATATTATCACCTATATCGTTACGCACCATGAACCAAATACAGAATTGGGTAGTTTCCAGGGTATCAAATTAAAAATCTAATCAGTCCGTCAGTTAGATAATGAAAAAATATTAGACACGTATTTTTTATCTTCTCATATTAAGTTGCAATACTTACATAAAATGGCGCTAAGTATAGGAGTGGGAGGTTGTTACGACATAACGTGCTACAAAATGTGACACGCTGTGACGTCACACGATATTTCAAATTAATAATTATTTCGTTGATAGTATTTAATTTTGTGAGAAAAGAAAAAATACGTGTCTAAAGTTTTAAATTAATGTACCAGACAGACATTAAAATAAAATTTAAGATACTATCCTATTATGAACACGCAGTTCCTAAAAAGTTTGCATCTGTCACAAATTGTATGTAAATGTATTTTGATATAATAATATTTGATTAAAATCTCCAATATTGTCTTTTCATATTAGATAGTTATTCAGTTTTTATTATCCTAATAATGAAGCTACTGCGGCAGGTGGAAGACTTATTGGTTCCTGAAAAAAAAACAGCGTCTTTTAGTCTCCATACACGTGGCTTATGATTATAGGCCCTAGTCGTGGCTTGAAATTAGTCGGACATATCTTACAGCAATATGAGTAACCTGTAATATCTAATTAATCTAGTTCATCATTTTTATTTCATAATAGTTAGTACTCAAAAACACGAATCTTAAGGGTAAAAGAAAAATTTAATATTTTCAATACTACTCATTGTAATAATAAATATTTTCTTTTATTTTGTCAGAACAGTAGCTCTCATCATATTAATTTTAAAATATGAAATGCTCCATACAAATTTTCACCTACATTTTTCCAAAATGTGGGGTTAAAAGGAGATAAATAGTTCACTTTATACATTATTTTTTCATCCATCCATTCTTTCAACACTTTAAAAACCACATCAATTCCCAGCTTCGTTTGGCAGTAAAAGATGGACAAACAAACAAACAAACACACACACTTTCATGTTTAAAATATTAGTATAGATTTATATATGTCATATGACGTTATTTGACAAGTGAGTTTACAAAGAAAATATATATTTTTTTGTTAACATGATATTTTCGTTAAGGTATTCAAAGAGGTTGACAGCATTCTTAATTTTGTAATAAGAGCGAGAACAAATGTTAAGAGAATTTCTTGATAACTAACTGATATATTTGGATCCGTCTGATGGTTTACCGGCTTATGCCATAAAAAAAAATCTTCGAAGCCCATAGTATTTCATTCGTGTCAGTGTGGGCCAGATTTACTTCGGAAGTTGGCCGATCTCCTTTGTATAGACAAACATGACGTCATCAGAACTGTAGGTCTGTTTTAGCGCGAAAAATTAAAATGTTCGGTTAAAACCGCATTTTCACGAAAAATTTTATTATTTTAATTTTTTAATATGCTTATGAGTTATTTAATGTAAAATTGTATAAAATAAAAATTTAAAATTCGCATTTTCCCTATTGCTACAGTTTAAGACAGAGGAGCAAAATAAAAGGTCTATCTTATAACATAACATAACTTCATAAAACCACGTCTTTTATCCCCGAAGGAGTAGGCAGCGGTGTAGGTACATTACAGTACTTAATGCCACTGTACAATTTAACATCCACTTTTCACTATTTATGCTATGAGCCCCATGTAATAACTTCACTGCTAACGGAGAAACTACTGGAAAATTATATTTTTTTATTGTACTATATTTCACCGGGACACCATGGCAGCGTAACCAGTCGCCAGTTGGAGTCCGCTTCGTTACCAATCTGATGGCGCGATCCGTTCGGACGCCAGCACAGAATGTTACTGGTCGCTCATCCACGCTGGTCGCGCCACCACTAAATACTACTGCGCTGTATGGTGAGTTACACAGGCTTGCAGTTTCGACTTTCTTTAAATGCTTATTAGCTATAAATAATTTAAATAACTTACTTCTCCAGCTTCAATGTGATAACCGTCCTTGTCAGCATTATATATGACGTTGACGACTTCTCCATTAGTATCTAAATAAGAGTACCATCCATACACTTTTATATACTGATCTGCTTGTCCCGGGTTAATCACTTCGCCAGTTTCTTCACGCGATATGCCATTGGATGTCTCGAACCTGCAAATAATATAATTAAGCATAATAAGTTTAGTTGAGTACCGTTATTATAGACACAATTAAAGTCAATAGGTTGCGGTCACCGGTGGCCGCCCGGTGTTTGACAGTTTAAAAATTAGAATTACTTTTGTCCACATAACATAACATCACGTCTTTTATCCCAAAAAGCGTAGGTAGAGGTGCACATTACGGCACTTAATGCCACTGTACAATGTAACACCCACTTTTTACTATTTATGTTATGAGTCCCGTGTAATAGGGGGTGAGCTTATTGCCATATACCGGGAACAATTCCAGACTCCGTGCTACTACTGAGCATTTTTAGAAAATCCAGTAATACTTTGCCCGATCCGGGATTCGAACCCGAGACCCTTTGCCCGGCAGTGGCACTTGCAACCGCTCAGCCAACGAGGCAGTCTACATTTCTCCAAAAGCTTTAATGATAAATTCATAGCTAAAAAAGAACTATAAACACGCTTTTACCTATGAACAGCAATGGCCACATTAAATAAGCCTGGATTCGACAATTTGTTTACTAGTAGTAGGTAGCCGAAGTATTAGCCACCTTCTAATTTCTTAGAAGAAATCACATCAGTTCTATAGTACGATGATATTGTATAGCTATCTAGTCTACATATGTACAATTGCCAAATTTCATGACGATATAACAAATTAGAAGGGTGAATAGTTCATTATACCGTTACACGTAGGCCTAATAAAAGTGCAAAAAGTATGAATAATAACATACCTGAAGTTATAGTTGCCAGTACCGTCATTGTTACTAACGTAGTTCACTATCTGAGCTTGAGCATCTTCAGGGACGACGGCCGCCGCAGCAACCGACAAGGCTGCGCACGCGATGATTATCCGATTCATTTTGAATAGTTTTTTTAACTCGCTAATAACACGAAACTACGGTTTACTACCTCAAGGTCAGAATATAAACTCAATTTGAATTAAATATAAAATTTTGATATATTCTGATTTTTATGGTTTACAAAATATAAATGACTCCGATTATAAGCCTCCTCGGTATTATATATCTCTCTGAAGAAATAATTATTTAATTATGGTTTTTTTTATAAGTTCTAATTGTAATTTACGCAAATTTCTTGATCAATGCTGATTGGTTTTGAATGTTTTTTTTCTAAATAATAGTTTTTTGGCTACGGCTCTAAACTTAGTTATAATAAAACTAAAACAAAATACATGCTTTCTTTAGTATTTCACTGAAGTTTTTAGTTACATGTCGAGTGTGAAGTTATTGAACTGAGTCTTGATGCCACCTTTTGGCCACCTTACCGCAAATCAAATAGACTCAATGGCCATTTAAGTAACAAAACAGAAAAAAAGGTTTTAATATAATTTCATACAATAATTCATTGACTTAATTAAATTCCTTCTTTCAACTCTACCAATCATACCTATATTTCCCTATACAGGGCGTGAACGCTCCCGAAAAACGCCGACAAAAAGTAGGTTTTACGATTTTAATCGTTTCTGTTTGCGTATAATTCATGCAACATCAGCCTGGAGCGGTTGATTACATTATTATACAAAAGAAACATCAAATTTCTTACTTTTACGAAAATAAAACTTATTTTACACCATCATCGTCCTTTTTCGGAAGCGTTCCGCTTACACCCTGTGTACATTATTTTTAAAATGTATGTATTATAAGCACCATACGGTTTCTAAAATGATTTCAAAATTAGAGTACGATATTTAATTATTACGTTTTTGGCTAACTCATGTACTAATTAACAGCAGCTACAGAGTAGCAGCGCGACAGTCACGTCATCGATCGCGGATCGCGAAATGCTGCTTATACATTTCATTTTATTTCATTTACTTATTTATTCATGAACAATTATTATATTGTGTTTAAATTTGTACAATACACCTATATTCTAAAAATTATACATGCAATAATTAGCCATTACAATTAATAAAGTTAAATGTCATTCCTTGTACTTGTCAATTCTTAATTAATTATAACAAATTTTCATTATTAGCATTTCGCTCATGCTCATGAAGCTCATGCTTCTATCATGGCTTGAAGCTAGTCAAGTTCCTGGTCAGATAATAACGTGAATAAGCCGACAAACATAATAATTAAATTTAGTATGTCTCACGAAAGTTATAACATAAATAAAATACGATATATAGTAGGTACTTTGGAATAAATATTTGATAATATTTTCCAAGATTTATTATTTTTCATTTTGGATGAACATCATTTTATTTTTATCCTAACAATGAAGCTACTGCAGCAACTGGAAGTGGTGGTTGAATTGGTAGCGGGTTGCCGATTTACAAAAAGTTTCTAAAATAATTTTAAAGTTAGCTTCTATCACGAAGTGCATAATATATTTTGGTAAATTTGATTATGGCGGGACACTTATTTTGTATTGCATAAACACCATTTCATTTTTATCCCAATAACGAAGCCACTACAGTTTGTGGAAGGCCCATAATATTCTGAAACAAACAGACTCGAGATTATTATAATTCAAACTCGAGTAGTAATTTGGCTACGAGTTATCGCATGCTACCTTTAACTATGAACCCCAACTGTGGTTTGAAACAGATCAATCAAAATCAAACAGGAATTTGAGGATTTTTCCTTTATTTTAAGACACCTCCCTTAAGGTCCATATATGTGTAATCTTTATTTTCACACATAACGGTAATTTGCTGTTTTTTTTTTATTTTAATTTTTATGGGATAAGATAAGATAAGTCGGTAAAAGCAGACGGATCACCTGATAGTAGGCAATCGGCTATGGCCATTGACACCCGAACACCAGACGCATTACAAGTGCGTTAGTGACCTTATGGGGACTAGGCATTTTAGAACTGTAGGGGATTCAGGGATTGGGGAGATTGGGGGAATTGGTCCACCGATAACCTCATTCACACGACGAAATACAACGCAAGCACTGTTTCACGTCGGTTTTCTGTGAGACTTCAGTCGTTTTAATTACAGACTTTAAAAAATATTCGTTCAACACCTTTATAGTAGTGTTGTTATATTTTATGTATAGAAGAGCCGATTACGATAAAATTTAGCTTATATTGGTAGATTTTCTTCAGGTTTCTGATATAATCGAATGTTTGTGATTTATATTTTTAGAATAACATGCGCTGATTGACTGATTTATCATCGCCGACCGCTAACTATCAATGCAACAAACATTTAAATTTGGGCTGTATGAAAACGTACATAATAACGTGAATACTGAACACTACTAAAACGGGATTGAAAAAAACAGCCTAAGTTATCAAAATAGGTAACAAACTTTATACAGGGTATAAATTGAATGCTCCCAATAACACCGACAGGTGATGGTAAAAAACAAGATTAAGTGTAAGGAATTAAATGTTTCTTTTATGTAATAATAGTTGTAATCGACTGCTCAAAGCTGATGTTGCATGAAAAACACGAAAACAATTAAAATTGTGAAAACAATCTCTCTTTGTCAGCGTTTCGGGAGCGTTTCGTGGAGGTAAACCCTGTATCTTTCTTTATTTCGGTTATTGATGTAAAAAAAATAAACACAACATTTCAGGAATTTTGAAAATTTTACTTGATAAGTTTGAAAGTTTGTTGTAACTCTATTATTTGAACATTATTGTTCAAATTTAGATTTTATTTTAAACATTTAATGTTTTGATATTATACATTTTAATTTCATTTAACATGAAAAAACATTTTAGTTTTATTTTCCAAGAAGACTAACTGTTTTTGCAATATCGTCTTCTGGGAAATGAATCTTATCCTCCTGAAATGAACAAAAAGTGGGAAATTAACCAGTTACTCTAGAATATAATTGAGAAAACAGTAATTTTTGAAGCAACATTATTTTAATTTTACAGTAGCTGCGTGGGTACTATCGGCAAAGTTTAAGAAAAGACACTTTTTGAACAAAATTCGGTGACAACCTCGCTATCCACTGACGTTCAATCGCACCGAGTGCAGGCAAATATCGCCTAATGATGAATGCACCAACTTTGTCGATTATACTTAAATGTACATAGGGTATACCATTTCATAGTTTAATAGTAAAACTAGATAGACGGTAGAGTCATCTTATCAATTACAAATTCGACATCAATTAACGAACTTATTATTTCATAATTATAAAAATAAGTAAACTTACTTCATTAAAGTGATAACCGTCTTTGTCAGCACTGTATTTGACGTCGACGACTGCTCCATTAGTATCTATGTAAGAGTATGATCCCTGAACGTCTATATATTGGTCTTCTTGTCCCGGGTTGACCACAATGCCACTTTCTTCACGTACTAAGCCATTGGATGTCTGGAATCTGTAAGATATGTTAGATAGGTAATTATTATGTATCTTCTGCAATGGGATTGTCTTAATATTAGGAATTGGGAACAAGTTATATTATTTAAAATGTAACTCTTATAGTCGTCATTAGACCTCACCTGAAGTTATAGTTGCCAGTACCGTCATTGTTGTTAACGTAGTCCACTATCTGAGCTTGAGCATCCTCAGAGAGGACGGCTGCCGCAGCTACCGACAAAACTGCGCACGCAATGATCATCCGGCTCATTTTGAATTAACTCACTAATAACACGGCGCTAGACTTATTATATGGATACCACAAGGTCAGCTTAAAAAACAATTTATAATAACAAAACAAACTCCGATATTTATTGATTTTTATGCTCGCATACAAACTGTAAATGACTTGAATCATAAGCCTCCTCAGTATTATATACCTGTCTGAAGAAATAATGACAGTCACAAAATATAATTAAGCTTATTTTTTTATAAGTTCAAATATTAAACACATATTTGTATTATATTTCGTGATCAATAAGCGCTTTTCAATTACTGTTTGGTTACTTGATTATTACATCATGAACGCAACAATATTCTCAATGCTCATATCTTAGCTCGATTTTATTATGCAAAGGTTAAAAAAATAACCGTAAATTAAATATAATAATAAAATAAATCAAATTTCTCCCTCTGAAGCCCTGACGACCGTTAGCTTAGATTTCTTTCGTTTCTGGTAGGCTAACGCTATTATATTTTTAAATGTTTTTTTTATAATCAAATATTTAAAAATCTGTAAATCAAGTATAGAAATAAATCAATACATAGTATAAAACAAAGTCGCTTTCGCTGTATGTCCGTATGTATGCTTAGATCTTTAAAACTACGCAACGGATTTTGATGCGGTTTTTTTTAATAGATAGAGTGATTCTTAAGGAAGGTTTGTATGTATAATACATGCATATTGCACCCGTGCGAAGCCGGGGCGGGTCACTAGTAGAATATAAAAGTCAGATCAAATGATGAAACGAAACTGGCAGAATTCGAGTATTTTTTCAAATATAATAGTGCTTCCTATTAAAATAATAAAAATGAGCCAAAACTGTTATGACTTATAACTCTTACGACTTTTAGAAAAAACAGAATAAATATAGTTCCATTTTCCTCCGAACGATGTCTAGAATCAAAATATTTCATTCGGTGATTCTTGTTTCGGTATCAATATCACTGCTATTTATATAAAGGCATCTCTAGCTATTCGACGTGATATTGGTAATAATAATTTATCGCTATCTAATAACTCACACGACGACGTCAAATATGGTGTCTAACATTATTAATTAGAAAAAAAAGGTAACATGATCTAAGATCCAAATGAAAACACTTCCCAGCTTCGAAGAGCACAGATATCAATATTTAAAGTCTTCGCACAACAATGTCTTAAATTTTATCGAGGTTAAAATAATTTAAATGAGGAAGGCACTTCAATAAAAAAATTAATAAAAAGAGATCAAATGTGGATTCGCCTTTACAACAAAAAATATATTAGATGAGCAATACTGTTCAAAGTGCACCTGTCACTGTTTATTGAAATTTAACTCAATGCGACCTCGTAACTGCAGGAAGAAGGCAGTACTCATATTTTAATGAGGTCAACAAAGAGATTACATAACATCTCAGTTTGTCACATCATCAAAGGAGTAGAAGAATGCATATTTTTAGCTTGTTACATTATTATTAGTCCTCTTACAATGAACGCCATAAATGGTGACAATTTAAAACTTATTATTATGTTTTCGGCTTACTCACGTAATTATTTGACGAGGAACTCGACTAGTTTCAAGCCATACTAGAGGCTCATATTCATGACCAGCATTTCGCGACCAGCGACGCCGCGACTGTAGAGTAACAGCACGACAATCGCCGCGTCGCGAAAACATAATAATATATTTAGTGTGTCTTACGAAAGTTATAATACAATTTAAAATTTCGTCTGATGTTTTAGGATTCAATTTACTTTAACATGGTAAAATGCCTAAAAACCTTTTGTTATCGTATTTCCATTTGGCTGAGGCAGTCAAAGCAGTAGCCAAAAGCCAAAACAGATAACAAATTAACACGCTCGTAAAAAACAGCTACTCAAAACGTATTAGAGTCACAAATACGTTACATAAGTATCATCTAAAGTTCAGGTGTCATTGTTCAGCGTGATGTCCAACAATTGATTTATGATGTGTCGCATAATAATGATGAAACCGTGTCTCGTATTGTCGGGTTTAGTTCGGTAAAGATTTCAATAGTTATGTAAGTTGACAGATGGGATGTCGGACCAAAGGTAACTGGCCCACCGTGAATACGTCCCATGATTAGATTACGCGCCGGTATTGCACACGCTACGACTTATAAAGGGTATCAATTATATTATATACGTATGTACGATAATTTGTACTGTCTACATATTTTCTAATTTTCGATACTCTGTCCGTAATGTCATTATGTTTTTGTGTTGATACTGAGTACATAGGTCATTCACACTATAATATTATGATTGCGATTGGAACAAATAATTATCGTCTCAAAGCTTTTCGAATTTGCAATGTAATTTGTCATTATGACAGTGATTTTAGAAAGAATTTTAGAATTACATATCGCTAATAGTGTTTCTTAAAAAGTTATATAATTTTAAATGCTGGTGGTTTGTGCACCACATGACATTTTACGTGCATTTTACTAAAAATATACCTAAATATCTTTGTTTATCTATGTTATTTTTACAAGTAAGACTCACAAATAAGACTGTACATGTTTCTATGTAAAAAATGGAAAACTGTACCAACAAAATTTTCTCTTTTCACTGAAAAGTAAGTATCTTAATACTAAAGGGTATTAAAAAAACACATAACTGACTTATATTTCGTACCTATTTCAATCAATCAAAGTTCACCATCGTACAATATTCATAGACTGGAATCATTTTATTTGCTTCCATCTATCGGCTCGACAGTGAAGTAACGTCAGCCTTGATCATTCAACGGTGTACATTCTCTTTGTTTATCGATTTTTAAGATGTTACTATATCTTATACAGCCTTTATTTTGTACCAAGTGTTAGCGACTTCGTGTAGATGGCGTTGATTTTTGAAAAATATTTTCGTCGTCGTAGATAGAGAGCTTTGTGTTTTTATCTACGTCATCTACTTATAAAGGTACTCTGTTGGACATAAGCCTATTTCATAGTGTGGTTTAATTTTTATTAATTGAGAAGGTGGACTATAATGCTATTTTAGGTTCAAATTCATATTAGCTTGATATTATAAGCAATGGACGCAAAAAGTTGTCATTCTCCCTATCCTAATTAAAAAAAATGGTAGATATTAGGCTATAAACATATAAGATCACGTAATTGAATAGAGGTAAGAACGTACCACATAACAAGGTGAAGTAATTATGTAACAGCGCAAATTCAATTAAATCATAAATAGAAAAATAATTTTCCCATCTCAATAACCGATAATTTCAAGAACCATTACATTTTCAAATTCGTAATTTTTTTGTATTAAATTCAAAGCATTATGACACAGTTCCCAAACGGTTTCAACCCAGTAACTATCTTGTCATTTAAATATGAATTTTATATCGTACGTCCTATGATATATCTTATATTATATTCAAAGCAAATACACCGTGCCGGAGTCGGAACCGTACCGGAGTTGTACCTACTTTTAATAAAATTACTTATTCGTGAATATAAGTAATGGTCCCATTAAACAAATAAGCATATAATTGTGTAGTTCAAAGGGTATAAATAACTTAAACTGTCTAATTTTGATGTTAATAAGGTCGACAATTATTTAAATTATCTTACTTGATACCGATCTTATAACCTTTAAGTAATGCTCATAGAAGATTAGTATTAAATAAAATAACTTGTTACGTATATACGATGAATATAATAAGTAGATAGCGTAGGACGTTTTACGTAGTTTTAGAACATTGCATATATTTTTTCTTTTATTTTAGGTTTAAATGAAAAAAAAAACGTACAAAGACTAGTGATAGAACTAACATTTTGAAGGGAATCATCATATAGAACAATTAATCAATACTGTATTGGTGTAGATGTTAAAGTATGGTAGCCGCTGATAACTATTAAGTTCAGAAAAATATATCTAATAGTTAAATACTCCAGCAGTACAGCATTAACTTGATGTAAATCTAGTTATAGGGATTATGAAGTTTGAAAAGAAATGGCAGATCAAGAAACGAGCTGAATTTCTGGTAAGGTAAAATACAAAAAAATCAAATACAATTGATGATTGAAGTAGGAATTTCTGAGTGCATTAATATATCGGCTAATCGGGAGAAAGGGCGGAACATCACGTTCACGTTAACTACGACCGACCAACGACTAAAACAAGAATAAGCAATTACTCAAATTAATGCAACAACGGTTTTGTCTAAATGAGCGCTTTGTTATACGGCCTAGACATTAATGAGGTCCGGTTTGTAGACAAATGATCGGTTATTATGTAAACTTAAAGATAAATATATTAGATAACTAGAAGTATATTAAAAGCCTGTCAAAATACGAATAATTCATTGGTCAACTATATATCTAAGTACGGTCAAGATGACATATTGATATATTTGTTAGGGTGATGTATGAACAACATTGTAGTCATGTTAATTTAAACCTGTTTGAACATGTATGTGTGTTATGACATGGACTTGCTTTCTCAATATTCCTGAACCTTCCTTGGCTTTAGAAATACTCGGGTGAGGTATTAGATTGTTATCTATAGTACTGCATATAATACATGTTGCCATTTTCCCTGTATTATCATGAAGATCGCTTTTAATATTCCAATGGTTTATTTAACATTAGGTTTTGAAATAACACAGATGGAACTTTTGTAGATTCTCTTTTTCGTATTCGTGTTTAGGATAAATAAATTGTTCAGGTATTTTCAAAATATTTAAAATGTATAATGTTTTAGTAATAGTCAAGTTACGATGAGAAATTTAGTCAGCTGTGAGGGCTTTAGAAGCTTTTAGGGCATAATAAAAATATGCTCGTATCATATTTTAAAAATGTATTGCTATTCATATATATCATATTCAGTAAAATTGTATTAAAATATTTTTGTAATATTGTTATGAATTAATAAAAATTTATTTATCTGTCATATTATGAGCTAAGCGCAATAATTGTTCAATTTAAATGCATCAGGTTTGAAACTTTGTAGCGTATGTCACAAAAGGCGTGATTAAATCGACACAATGACCGATGTAGTAACATAATCATTTACCTCTAATTTAACTCGTCGAGTACCGGTTTTGTAGACACAATTATAGAACAATAGGTTGCGGTCACCGGTGACCGCTTGGTG